ACGAATATATTCAAAAAACAATTAGAAAAAGAATAAGGGGACTGGTTTCGTCTATCAAAGACTTCTTCAGCATTTTTTTTTTCAAAAACGTATAAGAAGAAAACTAGCACAGTGACAATCGTTTGAAATAAAATTGGATTCAGTAAGAACTAAGAACTTCATTGTCCGAAAACCGCTGACAGTTGACAGCTCAATGAAACTTAGAGCCGTGCATAAGGAGGCGTGAAAACACTCCTCATCTCGTTCTATTACGAGAGGACCATGTCATGGCGTGAGAAAGGTGTTCTAAATATAAATGACACTGTATGAGTGAATAAATATTCCGCGCCCTCTTGGGCTATTGGCGGACCCTACCACCTGATCGGGTGTTGCAGCCGTTTCGCCCTCCACCTGAGATCTCGGAAAGTTACCGACCGATTTTAAACATTCAAAGAGCATTCGATAGCCCCACCAGGTAACTACCTTGTTACCAGGTTTCGTTGACCTAGGTGCAACCCATGACGTCACAAGTCAGGTCAAAGGTCGCATTTTTTCACCGATTTAGTCTAAGGAATGCGTTACAGTCAGTTAACACATTAAATAAAAGGCATGTTATCGAAAAACATCGATGAAGCGTTGGTTGTCTAATACATATGTTGCCTAAAGAGGTCATTGATGCCAGGTCAGTTCACAGAGGTCAGGTCACTAAGGGTCACAATATGAACCCAACTATGCTAGGGTCGTGTGATACATGTTTTATGGCCAATTTTACATTTAGAATTCAATGGTGTGAGCTAGACGGCCATTGGGGCCAGTTTAGATTACATTATGGTGGAGGTCAGGTCAAGGTCAGGTCAAAGAAGGTCAAATTTCAAAGTTGATATTTTGCATAAAAGGGGTATCTATTCGATGCAGCTCATCACAGGAAATCCAATGGTGGCCTTTGGCTTGCTTTGTATGTTCTGTGACGGCTAAAAATTGAATTTGAAAATTTTACGTAATAAATTTTGAGTAGTTTTTTTTCCATAACTTTGCTAGAGATGGAGCTATCGAGTTTAAGTTTGGCATATCTAGAGCAGATAGTTTTATAACATATATTTCAGTTTTAATTTTGAAAGTTGTTGGTATTTTCGGGGTGTTAACTTCTATAGTTTTCTTTTGATGGTCAAAATCAATTTTTGTTTGGAAATAAGAGTTAGCAGTTTGGTAGCGCTGTTTATTTAACATCTTTTTGATCTGAATATTTTTTCGTTATCTTCAAAACTGTAAGCGTGACAGCTCTTCCCGCTAAACCTTTTATTGGGTCGAAAATGACAGAACATGGCATCCCTCTGACGTCATTTGTGACTAACCTTTCATAAGAGCTCTGGAAAAATTTGGTCACAAGGTGTAAAAATGATGCCCGGAGAGGTCTTGAAAGTTTGGTGGCGACATTTGCTATACTTTAGGGAGATATCGACTGAAAAGGAGAGAGGGGGCCGTTTCGCGCCGCCCTCCCCCTCAACGGGGCTTTCAGTTGCTGCTCTCACAGAACTCTTGGTTATATTACAACGTAGTGGAATTGCAAGTGGCAATATAAGCTTACTGCCAGCGCCGGACCAGAGTTTAAACATGCAGGATGAATTTTAACATTTATTTTTGAATTTTTAAACCGTTGAGCTTTTTAGAAGTTGTATGGACTGTTCAGCTCCTTTTTTGGTCCATCACAGCGGGCTTATATGTCACTACTCACTTGTCAAACAGAATCGAATTAAAAACTTTTTATTTGGTCTGGCTACCTCGCCAACTTCTTAACTGGATCGTTTAGTAGCTTTTGATTGGGCACTGCCCACGTTGTCTAGCTTTTCGTGTCATATACACTGTCGATGACACGAGAAGAGGCTGCTGACATCGTTTGTCGCGGTTGGATAATACCAATCCACGTCCCAGTGGCTGCTCGATCGCACTTTCCCTGGCCCACCTCTCCCACCAGGCGAGACTGCCCGGCACAGCCGTCGCCTCAGTGCCTCGGGCGGTGACCCGTTCAAAGGGGCTCACAATTCCTATGGTGCCGTGGCTCTCAAACCAATACAGAACAGTGAAACGCAAAGGCTCACTTTCCATATAAGGCGAACGGCTGATTCTGGCGCCGGGGCTTCATTCATGCTAAGGCGCCCAATCACAGCGCCGCATTTCAGTTAGTGTCGGGCGCAAAAGCTACTATGCTCCGCCCCTCCATCACGTGACCCTGCCCTCACGTGGCCTCAGTCACGTGGTGTTTCCACTTCTTGGCGCATGGCGGCGCTAGTCTCGCAGGGGCGGTGGTAGCTTGCTCCCCCACCGTCCGGGGGTGATGGGTAGCAACTGCTGGTGACTGTACTTTATACCCTACGTACATTTGCTCTACGTACTTTTGTCCGTGACGTACTTTTGTCCACACGTAGGGTAGACCGGGGCAAGTCGCTCCGCCGAGGTGAAACGCCTCGCCGATGTTTCTCGGAACTGGCAGGGTTCTGGGGAAAGATCCTCTCTTCTCACAAACGTGCACTATATGATCATTATATGAGCAGACTGGAAAGAAATTGTGATAACTCTCTAGGGAGATATAGCCAAAAATGTGTTTTTTGAGTGATTTTTATGTTTGGTTATCTGATAATGCATAATCGCGTTTTTTGTGGTCCACATCAAGTTAACAACTTTTATGTATTTCGAACAACTATTGTCTAACGCTTATGATGCCGGGTTGGTTCGTGTTAAATTATGTCTTGCTGGAGCGCAAGGCGTTGTTCGCTGACCGAACTACGTGATGGGGTAAAACGCCCCAGTAGGTCGCGGGCAAAAAGCCCCATGGGGCGTTTTACCAGTTACCTCATGTGTTGTTCGGACTACCCACTTCCTAATGTTTGGTAGCTGGCGAACAACAAGTTTCTATGCATTTATATGTATTTTTCTCAGCAACTGTATGGCAAGGGAAGTATATTGTTAACTGATTTGCATTGCAATAATTTATTATTTGGTCTTATGAGGCACGTGAAAAACATGCTCATACAATAGTGTCATAGCTGAACACCTGATAGGATGGAAGGTGCTAACTTCAGTGCCGTACCTCCAGCGGTCTAACGTATCTTTCATATAACATTTAGTCAACTACCATGTTTAATCTTTAAGCTAGAGTATGGGGCTTCTTGCCTCAGGCCGTGGGGCGTTTTGCCCTGGGGTTGGGGCAAAATGCCCCATTTGCAGTTGCTTCACAAATCACTTCCTAGCTGGGAGTCCGATCATAAGTGAAAGAATTTGAGGAGTGGAATTTAAAGTAAAATGTCCAAAGAACACATTGAGCACAGATTTGGCCTTCCAGGTGATGTGGGACAAAAGTTAGGTACCTATGTAGCAAAATAAGTTATCTGGGGCTAATTAAAATGGGACTATGAGTAATATCTTCGTGGGTCTCTTAACTCTCATTTCATAAGTAGCTTCCCGGTACTCCTTTGGGACACACACCTCGTATATAAGGAACTTTGCCCGCAGTTTCCAGTACGGCCTTTCTGGATCGGCCAGTGACTGGATATGCTTGAGGATTGTGTTGTTGTCTGTTTCTGATCAGCTTACTATGCTACTATCTATGATATAATTAACCCGCGCCCTGCTTGGGGGTGTTTGAACACCCCCCTTTTGGTTTTTCGCGAATATCTCAAAAACGGCGGCGCGGAGCGCCGCCGTTTTTTGTACACCTTATCATACATCAATTCTACACATGCTGTGAAAATTTCAGACCAAGTTCATTCAAGGTCAGGTCACCAGGTCACTTGAAGTGACCTCACCTCGTAAAAAGTTTCAATGTCTGTCATAGCTACACCGAGTGACCGATCGCTTTGAAACTTTCAGCGATTGCTAAAAGTAATGGCATGTACAAACTGTTTATCTCAGAATTTTGATATCGATGACCTAAGGTCAGGTCAATTTTGCGACCTCCCCATTATAAGTCAATGGGGGAAAAATTGAAATGCGCCTCTATTGGACGAAAGACATTATAAACACTCCCAAACACCGAAGTACAAGTGGTTTAGACACACTGAACATGAAAATGGTGTCCGTGACCCTTGTTTATGCCCTGAGGTCATCTTAGGACACGAATGGTATCTAACAGTTTTTCGCAGATAACTTTTGATAGAGGCATGTTAGAGCGATGAAAACGCCTTATATGTGTTCAGCTCGACGATACGGATCGACTGATATGCAACATGACCCTTTCCGGTCAGGTCATGACCTTGACCTGAGGTCAAATTTTCAAGTTGACCTTTCAAGGTCAAGTTATAGTTCATTCGATGCGTCTTGACGAGAGGAACACGATGCCGGTAAAGTAAGCTCGTACAAGGCTTGAGTCAAAAGTTATTGCAGAAAAACTGTTCCCGAAAAAAATCGGCTATTTTTGCAGTTTTTGCCCCCTGCAGGCAAAACCGTTGAGTTAGGTCAAATTTTAGAGAATTACTCAGAAAGGGCGTTAATAGGGCTATCGAATGCGCTTTTCCGCGGCGCTATAGCTCTATTGGTTCCCGAGTTATGCGTTGGGTTCTTGGAAATTTTCGACATTCGACCTGGAAATCGGCGAAATGTTGCCTTCAATGACCTCTGGTGACCTGACATTTGACCTGACCAAAAAATTGACCGAAGTGATTTCGTCATTATTTTTTACGCTCTTTCGAATGCCGCCTTTCGCGTATCGCTACGTGGCCCAGGAGCCGAGTTACAAGGGGGGGGTGTTCAAACACCCCCCCCCCCCCCCAGCAGGGCGTGGAAATCCAGGACCCCCAGCCGGGCGCGGGTTAATAGATAAATAATAGACAAATATAAAAGATAAATAGATATCTTACTGTATGTATCCAAGAATGACTCCGTTGCTGTCCGTGTGTAATTGTGGTGTCCGTTTGTGTCAGTGCGTCTCTGGTCGTGTTTGTGGCTGAGTCAGCGTTCTCTGACCCAGCTGCGTCTCTGGTCGTGTTTGTGGCTGAGTGCGTTCTCTGACCCAGCTGCGTCTCTGTCAGGCTGGGGCTGGACGGCCCCTCAGACCACCACCGGACGCGTCTGTCTGATTTTGTACGGCATCCTGGGCTGCGCCGGCGGCATCCTCTTCTTTAATCTGTTCCTGGAGCGGTTCATCACGCTGCTGAGTCACGTGATGCGTCTGTACCACCGGTGGCAGTTGGAGCGGCAGCCGGGCGCCGGCTCTCGGCCGGCCTCTCGGCTCTCGCGGCCCGACAGCGGCTGCTCGCAGCCCTCCTGCACCGCCAAGTGGAAGCCGTCCGTGTACTGGGTGCTGCTGTACCTGCTGGTGTGCACCAGCCTGGTGCTCCAGCTGGGCGCCGCGCTCTACGCGCACATGGAGCGCTGGGACTACGTGCGCGCGCTCTACTACACGTTTGTATCTTTCGCGACAATCGGATTCGGGGACATGGTAGCCGGCATCCGGCCGGACCCGTTCTACGGCGCCGCCCACTGGTACGGCGTGGCCAACTTTACCATCACGGTGGTTGGTGTCTGCTGCATGTATTCACTGTTCAACATCGTCTCCATCATCATCAAGCAGCTGCTGAACTACTTAATCCGGCGCGCGGACGGCTGGTGCGTGCCGTCGGCGCTGCGGCCGCTATCGGCCAAGGTGGGCAACTCGGGGGGCCGGCTGGCCAGCCTGCCGACGCCGCGCCGCTCACCCGACGCGCCGCCGCTCAAGTCGGCCTCTTCCAGGGAGGAGCTGGACGCCGGCGCCGCCGACGGCGTCATCTTTCCCCGCGAGCTGCTACACGCTAACCGGGTGAGCTCTCTCTCTCTCTCTCTCTCTCTCTCTCTCTCTCTCTCTCTCTCTCTCTCTCTCTCTCTCTCTCTCTCTCTCTCTCTCTCTCTCTCTCTCTCTCTCTCTCTCTCTCTCTCTCTCTCTCTCTCTCTCTCTCTCTCACTCACTCACTCTCTCTCTCTCACTCACTCTCTCTCTCTCACTCTCTCTCTCTCTCTCACTCACTCACTCACTCACTCACTCACTCTCTCTCTCTCTCTCTCTCTCTCTCTCTCTCTCTCTCTCTCTCTCTCTCTCTCTCTCTCTCTCTCTCTCTCTCTCTCTCTCTCTCTCTCTCTCTCTCTCTCTGATTTCTGTGTCTGTATGTTATGTCACTTATGTGTGTATGTATGTAGGTAGGGTATGTATACGAGTATATGTATGTAGGTATGTAGGTATATATGTATGTACTATGTATGCATGTAATATGTATGTAGGTATGTATTTTCCCCTTCCCCTTCGAGCTGCCAGCGAACATAAAAATACCAATAAATATGCTCTGCGTAACCAACCTCGGTGCAAAGCCTACAACCAAATCCTTCCAGGAAAACACTGTAGCTGTACGAACAGGAGCTATTGTTATATTCAGCCCAAATGAAGACGACACAAACACACCAGCAACTAAGCAAGTATACAAGTCTCACCAAGACTGCCCTGCTATCGGGCCGCCACCTTTCCCCCCGTGCGGCGCAATGGTGTCCCCACCCAAACTAGAAACCCTGGCGTGTGTGTCCTCACCCGGAAGAAGTTCTAGCTAGAAAAAAAACGGGGACCTAGCTGGGGAAAAAAACACATTTTGTGAAAAAACACTTCTTTATTTGAGAGTGTGGTGCGTGTAAACAGAAAGCCCCAAAAATGGTGGTGGGTGGGTGGGAAACGCAAAAACACTTCAAAACGAGAACACTGTTGACCTGCGTCAGACCGGGTGGCTTAGAACAGAGTGACCACGCAAACGCAGTCAAACCCCGCGCCGCCACCGTCACGTGACATGAACCGATCCACCAATCAGAGGAGGCCGCCGCCTCAGCGGCCTTGCCGCTCGGGGCGCGTATTCGCCAAGTGTATTACACGAATCGGCCCACCAACTAGCGACATCTCTAGGCTAGATTTGAGTTGAGACTTTTTCCAGTTATATATGGCTAAAAGCTGGCAGCTGCCCCCCCCCCTGGCAAACTCGTGGGGGGCAAAAGTATCTTTTTGCCCCCCCCCCCCATAATTTGTGACAAAGCTTAGACAAATCATATACCTGATTATTCTGTTCGATCATCTGAAGATGTAACCAGATGCCCATATACTTTATCATACGTTGCCTTTCTTAAATGGCAAGCGTTCACGTTCAATTGAAGTTTTCCTCTCTTCAACCTAGTTTTGGAGGCATTATAAGCGTCAACGTGACGCAGCGGCAACCCAGGCCTTCAGTGACCGCTTACGGGGGCGACGGATACGGGGTGGCAGAGGAGGCATCGTTCCCTAAGAAACTTTTGGAGGAGGGGCAAACGTATATTCTTGCCCCTCCATAATTTGCGCCCTAAACATGAGGAAAATTTCCATAACCTGATATTGCAGCTATGCGCTCCTACAATTTGTCCAACGGTGCCTTTTGAATATGTGTAAATGCTAACAATTTCCGCTTTTTATCATTTTTTTTTTTGTCTTTTCAGATTCGATTTATAGATGTGTGCAAGAGACGCAACTCATACCTTCAGTGGTCGTTTGCCTCTATTTTGTACCTACATGAGTGCCAAATCGCAAGCGAGCGGAGACGGAAGCACTAGCCATTCGCTTGCGGGTAGTTAGGACTGATGAGCGCTCGTAATAAGCCACTCCCCTGATTTTTTTTCGAGCGCAACAGTTTCCAGCGCATAAAATGGTAAACGCCGAGGTAGTACACATTGACGACATTGACCAATGCACGGTATGGTATGACACCCAAAGGCCAGTCATCAGAGATCTGCTTTGGGCATTCGGAGGCTTGTGTGGGGCCAGTGTGAAAACTGGATGTTCACAGTTCAGCATCCGCATTATTTCAGTTTTCACTATTAAAAAAGTAAAAATTAATGTTGGAAACTTTTGAGGGTTAGGGCACTGATCATTAGTGCCCCCCCCCCCTCTGTCTAAAGGCTGACTATAGAATAAAGAGCATCAAAAACGAACAGTAAGCAGCGGAACACCTTCAATTAAGGGGGGGATGGGGGCACTGCCGACTTTTGGTCCCATTCTTTCCATGCAACGCTCACAGGGCTAACGTTAAAATGCCAAAATCAAAGGGGGCACGGTGCCCCGGTGCCCTCCCCGTTCCGCCGCCTATGAACACGAAAGCAAAATCTGAGGCATTTTGGAAAAATGAGTATGCCCCGCAGCGTCCGATAACTACCACCTTCTAGTGGGTCAAGCCAACGGGGCCCAAGTCTATAATGGCACTTAACGATAGCACTAACCTTGTCTCACTTTTTGTTGAAGTCTGTTCTGAATGCTTTCGGCCACAGACTGGCTGCACTGAGGTCGTTTGGTATGTGCAACTGTAATTAAAGCCACCTGAGGCACCCTGTCCCTGACACCAGGCTGAAGCTGGGTTGGAAATGCTTCGTCTTTGCAGATATCACTGGCCGCTGATTCTCGAGTGCCCGAACCGGTAGATGTCGTGGCAAAATTTGGTGTGATAATTTGGACCTTACCGCAGTCAGCGCACCCTAAAGTCCTAATAAAGAAACGCCCTACCCAGAACTTCAGGATTCTCGTTCCAGTCCACCGTTCCTTCACCCCAGCTCACCACCACGCTCCCTCACCTCAGCCCTCCGTCGCCAGCTTGACGAGCGTTTGGGCCTTAGTTAAGCCTTGCTGTAGGCTAACTGTATAAACCCATCGAGACAGCCCGTCTCGGTGAGCTTAGTTGGCAAACTACTGCCTTGGGGAGGGTTTCTGGCGGATCGCTGTCCCAATAGGTTTAGATGCGACCGACTGTCTCTGAATGTTTGAGCGGTCTCCTCCCGCTGTGAGTTAGTTTCAGTTGATATCTGTCTCAGAAATACTTTTTAAAGGAAGGTTAAACGGAAATCGAACGTAAAATGAACAGAGAAAATGGTAACGAGTTACCTCATTGAAGAATAGCGCTCGCCTACTTCAAAAGGTTTGGAACCGTTCTTCAAAATCTGATATGCGATCAGGTCACAACTTTTTCCATTGGAGCTTTTTTCTAATACAGCAATACGAAAAGCGTTACATCGTCCACTGGCGGATCCAGGGAGCGGGCATTTAAAGCAAATATTTACTCTCCCTCCCCTGGCCCCTGCATCGCCCGAAAGAGACAAAACGTACCTTATGTTTCCTAATGATAACACTTTTATCAGGATTTTTTTTTTTTTTGCTTTATACTGTTCAGCAGTAGATCCGTAAGGAATCGAAATCCGAGGAGTTTTTTGATTTTGGATACTTTTTTGGGGGGGGGGGTATGTCCCCTACAGCGTCGAAAACGCCTTTCTGGATCTGCCTATGACATCATCTCGACTGGGATCTTGCCCCCCCCCCCACGCCAAAATCGAATCCGCCGCCACTGGCAAAAGAACTGGCTGCAGTTTGATTGCAGTCTGTACCCAAACTACCAATCTGTTGATAATCGTCAAAGTCGGAAGAGCTATTATGAAACACACTCGAATGACAACGGATTCCTGTATTAGTTCATCGATGACAGCCCTCCGGGATAGCCCGCCGTGAGCATGCAACTTAACAATCAGTCCCGAGTTATCTTCATATACGTCTAATATAAATATTTTTGACTTTAACTAGATTCCAATTAAGGGATTTATCCCCCTGGCGGCAAATATGTAAAAGCTATAGTTAGGGCATTGCTCCTATACATAGATGACGCTCCGTGACGGCTGGAAATGGAGAATTTCGTCCCGTGATACGCTAACAGCTATGCCAAGATGTTCTTTTTGTGCATGGTGATTCTTACACGAAAAACTATCTAATGGCCTGCTAACCAGCGTGTGATTTTTTTTACTTTTCATCTTAGTTTTCGCTACTTTTAGGTACTTTACCTTGCCAAGTGCCCACCTACTATCAAAAGATCAGCGCCGCCCCTGTCATATCCAGCAGGAGTTGCGTGCTATCACCCATTGGCAATGAGAAATATTGATCAATGGCCATCGCCCAGCACCATTTGTCTCCATTGGCTACGCCCGCATAGTATGCACTATGCATTAGTGATGTCAATCACAGAAAATCAGAACACCGATACCAAACCAAATACAAACCTAAACCATTGGAAAATACCGAAAGCGAACCGATCGGTTGGACTGCAAATATTTCTCTTATGCAACATGTTCATTAGAAGAATACTTACCTCTGATTTCTTAGGTGCACGCCGTTGCAAATGTATCCAAAAAACATATAATGACAGATGACACAAAAATTGAAGTCGCCGAGTGGATTCGAACCACCAACCTCCTTATCACCAGCTCATACGTTCGGTCCTCGCCCTTGGTGGAGTCTATTGAAGCCAGGTTTTAAGTTAACGATATTTAAGCTGCCTTAGATGTGTTGTCGCGGTGGCGAAGTGGTTAGTTAGAGTTCTTAGTTTTATTCAAAATCAATAAAACGTGAATTTCGTTAGAAAATGGTAACTTTTACTTCCGTTTAAAATTTGTATAACATGTAGTATTTGGGCTGTAAGCGAATTCCAACATTATAACGCCATTCTTGAGGGTGTTCAGCGGTTCTAAGAGCAATTTCATCTAGTTCTGTACAGCCATGACGACTTTATAGATAAAAATTATCAGAATGGCAACGTGGGGTTATTTGGCCGGGACTAGCGGGGCAACTTGGCCGATGCGCTCAGAGTCACTATGCTGGGACGGCCGAGTCGTCACGGTCAATTATACCATAAAGGACATAATTCATGACCAACTTTGACTACCTTGATGCCATATTTCCTATTGGACAGCTGTAAGGGCATGTGACGTCATCAACGGTTACTAGGGTGG